TATTTTTCTCTGATTTCATGGTAGGATGGAGGTTTAAATCCATGACCATGTCGTATAACATCATCAAACATCTCTTGAAATTCATCACTCTTCACAACATTAAATGGTATAGCATTGGCATAAAAAAATTTAGCAATTTTTGAACATGCCGACTCTCTCAAATCCTTCTTAAATAAACAATTGATGGTGGATTTAGTACTCACTCCTTTTCTCTTGAAAATATTTGGAACTTGAGATTGAGATTGAGAGCTTTCATCTTCTTCCCCTTTTCTTTTTTTTTCCAAGTATTTCACATTCATTTTGAGACTGACTACTTGATTTCTTATTTTGCAACAAGAACACAATATCCCACATTTGTTTCTTCACATCATCAGGAACAGATGGGCAAGCTATCACATCTCTTTTAGTCCCAACCAAATGATGTTTCAGTCTATAAACTCCTCCAGTTAGTACCCTTTGTACAAAACTTGCATTTAATTTTTTTTGCATTTCCATCCACTACAAATCCATACCTCCATGCAACATCATTCTTACTTCCAAGAGCATTCTTAGGAATTTTTTTAGAAGTTGTTGTTCCTCCACTTCCATATGCAGTAGTACTATTAACACCACTTGAAGACATTTTCTAAAAATATACAACATTCAAATTCACAACAAATAATAAAAATTAACCACAATTTAATTGGACCAGCGTCAAGCAAAAATTAAGAGGACAAAAAAAACTTACCACAATTCAAGTGAAATTAACTTAGACTAATTTTAATACAATTAATTTTTTTTCTTTGAATATAAAATCAAACAGAGGCAATTCAAGTGAAAAAAAATTTAATTTGTTTTTTCAAATAAATCTGATTTGGTTTGGATACTCAAAAAAAAAAAAAAACAAATCTGATTTGGTTTAATTTAGTTTACGGTTTATCAAATAAAATAAAATAAACTGGTTTTGTTTTATAAAATAAAAAAACTGATTTTGTTTTATAAAATAAAATAAATTGATTTTGTTTTATAAAATAAAATAAATTGATTTTTTTTTATAAAATAAAATAAACTGATTTTGTTCTATAAAATAAAATAAAATAAATTTATTTTGTTTTATAAAATAAAATAAAATGATTTTGTTTTATAAAATAAAAAAAATGATTTTGTTTTATAAATAAAATAAACTGTTTTTGTTTTATAAAATAAAATAAAATGATTTTGTTTTATAAAATAAAATAAAATGATTTTGTCTTATAAAATAAAATAAAATGATTAATAAAAAAAAAGTAAAACAAGACGGTAGAATAGATGAGATGAGACAGAGGCGACGAGACAAAAAAAATGAAAAAAAGAAGAGATCGAGACAGAGGCAAACGCAGACCAGAGAGCACTAACCGGTGGTGAGGGACGACCGATGACGGTGGCTTGAAGCACGACGGCGAAGCAGAAGACGGTTGCTCGAAGAATGCGGAGAAGCTTCACTCAGCAAGACGACGAAGCACGCATAGAAGCTTCACTCACGCGGAGAAGACGGTGGCTTGAAGGTCTTCGTCAGTCGCAAGTTTCTCTCCCACGATGGTGGCTCAGGATCTAGGTTTTTTTTTAGCTAAAAAAACCCATTTATACTCACTCCTTTCCGGGTCAAATATTCGGGTAATGGTTTTTTTTTTCTGATGAAAACGTTTAACTCGTACGATTATACGAGTTTGTCAAGAAACTCGACGTTTCTGCCATTTGAGGACCAAAAGCGAGTAATTGAATAATGTGACTCGTAACACTGCTGCTGAAGCGTAAACTCGTCCGATTCCACGAGTAAACACGCGAGTTTAACAACCATGGTTACCACCCTTGATCATGTGTTTTAATAGGTAAAAGTGGAGTTTTGTAATGTTTAATGAGTTAAACAAGTAACCAACTGATATATGAACTTAAAAGAGGATAAAAATGCATGCTTTAACGTTGGAATGGGTTAACAACCCAACCTTGGGAGTGATATCTCGCGAAATGCAGAAACTGCATTCTGTCGCGAAATATCCGGATATTGATATCCGGATATGGGGTCTTGTGATATCCGGATATTGATATCCGGATATGGGGTTCTGTGATATCCAGATATTGATATCCGGATATGCCCCCGACACATATCCGGATATTCTGGGTTTTCGAGGAACAGTAGCTTACTGTTCATACAGAACTGATCTATGGGCTTGTGGACCCTAGCTAGATTGATAAAGTTGAACTTCTGTAATGATTAAGTAAATCAGAATCAAGGGATTAAGGGCTTGTGGCTTTGTGAGAAGCCTTAAGAAGTAAAATGTAAAAGAGAAACGTCGTCTTTATGTTTATGCTTATGAGCTATGTTTATTGATATGATTGCTGGTCCAAATCAGATTGTGATTCTGCTGTGTTTGGACTTTGAGCATTGGTTGAGCTCTTGGCTTGGATTGTTAGCTTGCAAGGTAAGCTTTCGTGTCCTGGGCTTAGCCATTGTTGGTTCCACCATTTCCCATAGGGGGATGGTTGTATGCATGATGTGTTTTCATGTATTGTTTTACAGAAATGCTAATGAGCTGTTAAGTGCAATTGCTTATGATATGTATGTGGTGTTACGCCTACAGGAGGCCAAGAGGTGGTCATGTGGGTGGGTGCAGCAATGGCTAGTACCGTGTGGGTTTAGATGGATTCCTACACTTCTCTGATCAGTAGAATAGTTATAACACACATGACATGATTATATGCTGCATTGCACTATTTTGAGAACTTCTACTGTTAAACTGCCTTTTGAACTTATATTGCACATGTAAGTGAGCTTGGGTGGAAGATCCTTGACGACCCCTTGTCTTACTGGGATTTCTTGTTTAGAGATCTCACCCCACGTTTGGGGACGCTTATTTCAGGTTCAGGTAATATGGGGGCTGATGCTCTAGCGGCAGGAGGGTGGAGCTTAGTTGATTTATATGCTGTTATGCTGATTATATTGGATGCTGGATTATGTCTGCAATTATTCTGTGATTAGCTATGTTTATGTTGCTGTTGTTGAGACTGTTGTTGGGCGTTGTTGCCTCATTTAGTGAGCATGGGGATTGTCCATGCCACATTGACTTGACCTTATGCTTTTAGTTTCGAGTTTTAAGTATTAATGTATCAGGATATCGTCCGGAGTACGTGTTCTAGATCCGGGACTTAGATACTCACTTATTTATCTATGAGGTATTTCAGTTAGCTGTCTTTTGCAATTTACATACAGGCAATGTTTTTATGAAAACGATTAAGTAATCAACTTGGCTAAGTATAATGACGTCATAATTGAAAAGAAAAAGATATTCCGCATTTTTAAATTAAGCGTGGCTTAATACGATGACATGTTAATAAACCGGGTTAACACGGGGTGTTACAAAACCCATCTTATCCAACGAGGTTTAGCATCTTTCTTCGCGAACAAATACTTGAGTGCAGCGTGATCAATGTGGACCATGACTTGGGAGCCCAGGATATATGGTCGGAACTTCTCACAAGCATCTACTACAGCTAGTAGTTCCTTCTCAGTGACTGTGTAATTCACTTGAGCCTCATTTAGTGTTTTACTAGCGTAGTAAATCCTGCGGAATAACTTTTCCTTCCTTTGTCCGAGAACAACCCCAATGGCCAGATCACGTGCATTGTACATTAGTTCAAAAGGTAAGTTCCAGTCAGGTGGCTGGATGATTCGTTGATCACTTTTTAGTGAATATTGAAGTTCAAAGGGAAAATTCCTGATCACTTCTTAGTGAAGTTTTTTAATAAAAAAAATAAGTTAATCAACATTATTTTTAGAGTAAAGTCTCTTTTGGGTCCCTAACAAAAAATACGACTCTTACTTTAGTTCCTTACAAAAAAAAATGAGTCGTCTGGTCCCTATGAAATTCTAAGTGGACCCATTTAGTCCTTTTGAGGGACTAATGTGGGTCTTTTTTGAATTTGTGAGAGATCACTATTTCAACTAAATGGGTTCACTTTGAATTTCTTAGGGATCTCGGGACTATATTTTTTTTTTGTAAGGGACTAAAGTGGGAACCGTATTTTTTTTCAAGACCAAAAGAGGCTTTACTCTCTTTTTTTTTTTTACTATTGCTTGTAATGTTTAATGCATTATTATTTGCCAACTTCAGTTCATGGTAATATGAAATGATAAAAAAAATTGTGTTTCGTTTTTTTTTTTTCGCTTAGACAATGTTATGTTGTGTTAAACTTAAAGTTATTGTGATTGTAATCATTCCCTTTTCTTTATGATTTATTTTTCTTAAAAACAAGAAATAAAAAATGAATATAACCCTCCTCATAAAGCAAAATAAATAATTTTAAAACATTAATAATTTACATAGTTAATAAAGGGCTAACTATTCTCTTCATGTGCTAATACATTCCCTATTCGTGATTGTCTTTCGAATTTTCATTCTCTTTTTAAATACCAATTATCTTAACCAAAGATTCTTCGGAATTCATTCTCATTTTAAAGATCAATTTATCTTAACAAACGAAATTTTCCAATATTTTTCCAAATTAAATAATCCTGGTTTAGGCTCAGAGTTAACTTGACCGATCGACACATGAGGATGTAACGGCGAGGTCTGGCCAACAAGGAACTTTTTGTCGAATTTAATTTAAATTGTTAGAATAAAGATAAAGTTCATTTGTATTTAACTGCGTATATTTAAGCCAACGAAGATTGATTCACCAAATTTAACATTTGTTTGTGACAATAATATGATTTTTATTTTTATTTTTTTTGGATAAAAATAGATTGTTGGCTTGTCCTCATCTAAAAAAAGGAGAGTAGAGCGTTGTATGCCTTACTTGTGTCATGCCTACATCTTTCATGGAATTTGAAGGGGTAAATTCTCTTATTCCTTGAGGAAGAATGAAAATGAACACAGACAAACATAACTAAATCTAAGCAAACTAAATGTTTGTGGTTATACATGGGTATCTAGTGGCTGCAATAATGAATCTAACTTGAGACTTGATTGTGAAATTTTCAAGCTTCAGGGACATTTGGGTCCTCCCCTTTTGGTCTTCCAGTTATTATAGCAGGGGCAGACCTCCTTGTTGCCATAAGTTCCAGGAGGCACACACAAGCATTTTTCACAGCACTTTTGGCAGAAGAACATGCATGGCTTCTTGTGTCCTGTATTAGAGCATCTGTATGCGCAACGAGGACCGCATTCTGCAATTTCATGCATGCACCAACGTGTACCATTTTAATTTCAACAACAAAAACTTGAAAAATCATATCAAGGCTTGGTGGCGAACTATGATATAAAACCATTAATGTGTTTTCACATAACAACTTAGGTTTTTTAGTTAAAATGATTCGCTTCATGTAAAGAACAATTTCTATCCAAAAGATTAAGCTCTTAGACGAAAACCACTTCAGTAGCAGTCAAGGAAACTGTATAACTTGATTATTTGACTTGTGGATAATCAATTTCCTTCGGAATCAATCTAGTGTCTTATATCATGGCTTGATTTGATAGTTGTACAACATTTTCAATAATATCTCTTTTTGTAGCTTTTGATAGTTTTACTAAGATGAGATAAATGCACTTAATTCTTACCTTCTGGTTGAAGACTGCCTTCAGTGGTGCCATTCTGAAACTCAATAAAACAAAGACGAAATTAATACAAGATTAAATGCAATTTGACGACTTGGAAGGTTTTAAACTGTAATGAGCCGAATAATTAGCTTAATGTTAAATGGCCCAAATATAGAATGGAATATATGTAGAGCCATACCATGGGCTGCGGTGCTGAAGCCTCCATGGGAGAGACAACAATCTCAGCCTGAAAGCATCAATTAATATTATGGTATAATCATTTCTGTAATCTGTATATATACACTAAAGCCATACCCTTTACATATTGAAAGAAATCATGTAAATAATTTATTCTTGTGATTGATGAATTTGATGTATTTAAAGGAATATGAAATCCAATAAGAAATATTTATTTTCTATACCTAATGCACTGCTTTAACTTCATTAGTACAAAATAATACTTCTATTATTTTTGTAACCATAATAACTGTAAGTGCAAGTCTAAGATCGATCACAGAGGTTAAATGATAAACTTATTTAATCACAATGGATATGAGTGATAAGTTTAAACCAAGTGAAAATGAAATATTTCCAAAATATTGTATATCACTTTCTAATGTACTAAATGGTTTACAATTCGATAAATTTATCAAATAAAAAGTTGTATTTAAGTATAAAGTAACGAAAAATGAAAAAAAAGATTATGTACATTTTTTTTTTTTTTTGAAAAGCAGATTATGTACATTATCTACGCTTCGAACCAATAAAAAGTGAGAAAAAGTGAGGGTACATTTTTCTTTTTTCTTTTTTTAGCACGGAAACTCAAAAAAGTAGGTAATATGGCAAATTAGGATTATGGGAATAACATCTTGTCATTTTAAAGGATATAAACTTATATCATTTTAGATCTTAACCGTGGATTTCCGTCCATTAACGGTTATAATTTATTGGATCAAAATTGTTAATTAATTATTAATAAATTTGGCCCATTAAGTTTGACCCAGTAGATTATAACCGTTGATGGACGGAAATCAACGGTTAGGATCTAAAATGATGTAAGGTTATATCCTTTAAAAGAATATATGTTTTTCCCATAGATTAATGAGATAAACTTGAAAATCGTATCAAATTACTCGTTATGTTCAATTCGATGGCAAAGAAAATCAAATGAAATGAGAGAAACGGAAAATAGAGTAAAACTTCCAAAGCAGAAGATATGAGAAAATGTGTGTGTGTGAGAGAGAGAGAGAGATGGAAAGAACTATAAGAATTATGTTGGCTTACATGGCTCTCCACATGAAGCAGCAGCATTGCAACTAGGCAAAGCATAACGATGCTTAGTATTCTGGCCATTGCTTACGGTTGCAGTTGTTCACAGAAACAGTGAAAAGTTGTGTGAAGTGTGGTTTTCAAACAACTAGTGAGTTAAGTGATTATATGCAGTTGGGTAAGAATTGTGTCTATTTATACATGAAAGGTAGCGTTATGTTCACCATCGTTTTAGGATAGGAAAGGTACAATCCTATTTTTTATTTTTTTATTTTTAAAGAAAAGGTACAATCCTTTTTGTTATGACAATTGCGGATTCCACACAATTGAATATTAATTGCCCATTGAAATGGCCAATCGGATCCTTCTTTTTTATCTACTCTTCTAAATCACGTCAAAGAGAATTATTATTTTTTATTATTTATTTATTTATTTATTTTTGGTTGATAACAAACGAATATGAAAAATCTGGTAAGCATAGAAAATACATAGCCGGTCAAATGGGATCTTAAGCACACTTACTAACAAACCTATAGTTTATCCGAGAAGTATGTGCACACGGAAAAATCAACATATAGTATCCAAAAATAAAAATAAAAATCACCATATATATATATAGGAAGGATGTTCGAAATTTTGTGCATGGTTTGGAATGAAAGATTTGGATTTTGTTAAATGAACCTTGACGTTTAAATAATTGTAACAAACTGATCTTCGCTTATTTTTAAAACTATACTTAGTTTTTAGTTCTATACTTCTTTAAACCTTACAAATTTTTACAAAAAAATATTTGGTTAAGCCCGAAAAGTAAAATATAATTTTTTTACGCAAGGTAAAAAATAAATAAATAAATAATTGTGTTTTGTGAATTAAAATATCAATGACACGTGGTGTATGAAATGGCTGTAAAATAGGAGCGGAAACATAATTAAGTGGAATGACTATTCCCAATCTGTAGTTAAGTAGGTTTGGAAACGGTCAAATCATTCCATTGTTTCTGTTTGGTATATAGAATTTCTTCATAATGGAAATAAATTCGATTAAAATAGCATAAATACTTCTTATTATGAGATAAATAATGGAGATTAATTTATTTATTTTGGGTACTGTTATGATATAAATCATATCCCAACTATTCACCTAAGAATCTACTAAAGGATAAATATATAATTATCCTAACAACATCCAACGGTCAAATATTCAAGATAAAGACCTTATGCCAACAGAAAGGGAGTTGAACCCTAATGCAACTGGGAGATCTCTAGGGCCCAAGCCTAGGAAGGTAATCTTTATAAATAAGAGTCTAAAAACCCTAGGTACACACTTTGAACCTATTTTACTATTACTGCCAACACTGTGCACACACCCACATCTTGCCTATAAGCTTATTGCTTGTGCGCAGTGATTGGGACATCGGCTATAAGCCTAGTATATACCTGATTATATAGTATCTCTGAGCTCATACCATACGGTATAGCAATACGGTCTTTCCAGGACCGAACATTGGCGCCGTCTGTGGGAAACGATAAATTTCGATTCCCATTCCACGATGACGAACACCCGTTCGACGTCCAGCACTGCCCAACCCCCGCCACACCTGTCTGCGCTGGAACATCTCCAATCAACAGTGTCTCCTGTGTTGGTGGAGGTCCAGGTCGGAGAGGTCAGCACGCAGGTGCCGCCCTTAAGAACCCAGACCAACGCGACGGTGGAGACAACGCGCCCACCTCCACAGAATGATCAGCCAGGAGATGTAACCACTAGAGCCATGAATGCAATCCTTCAAAGGATGCAAGAGATGGAAAACAGATTCTTGGCTCAACAAAGGTTAGATGCCCAGAGGATGGAGGCATTGAAGGCTGAGATACGAAACCAAAACACCGAAGGCCGAGCTGGAGGAGCAGGTCAGGTCGAAACTGGCGGGCCGCGGCAACCAAGACTGTGCAGAATCTTCGTCACGGCAACCACCAAGAAGGCGGAGGACCAATCAACAACCAAGGAGATAATTATCTCCATGATGAGGAGGCTAATGATAGTCCATTCACTGAAAGGCTCATGAACTTGGCAATTCCGCGGAGATTCAAAAGTGCTAGGATACCTCCGTATGACGGAAGTCAGGACCCGGATGCCCACTTAGAGGCTTTCAAGACCGAGATGTTGTTCAACAGGATAACTAGACCTATTAAGGCCAGAATCTTCGCGACCACATTGACAGGTCAGGCAATGGCGTGGATAACCAGGCTCCCCAGGAACTCGATCGACTCGTTCCAGGACCTGGCTCGAACTTTATGTCTGAATTTTGCAACGAGTAAGGCACATCCAATGCCGGCCTATGCCTTGGGAAGAATCCTGCAAAAGGAGAATGAATTATTGAGGAAATACCTCGATAGATTTAAAGATGCCGCCCTTAAGGTTCGAAATCTAACTGAGCCAGTACACCTGCATTTGATCATCTCAGGATTAGATGGCGATTCCCCACTCGCAAAGTCAATCCATAAGAACCCGGTCAACGATCTGGAGGAGTTTCGACGTAGGTCGGACAAATACATTGACGTTGAAGACATGCAGAAGGCTTATGGGGAGTCCAGAGGACGAAGCCCTAATCGCCGGAGCCCAAGCAAGAAAAATAAAGACCGGGGATCAGCGGGGGTCGAATAAAGGAAACGACTCCCATGACAAAAGATCGGATGAACGATCTCCAAGGACCAAATATGACACTTACACGCCATTAAACATGTCCAGATCTCGGATATGGAAAGAAGTGGCTCAGACTGAAATGCGCAACGTCGAAAGACCTCGACCCCTCAAGAGTAAGAGCGGATTGGATAGGAATAAATACTGTGCTTTCCATGATCAGAATGGTCACACCACGGATGACTACTGGGATCTCCGAGATGCTTTTGAGAAACATGTCAGAGAGGGGAAATTGAAGCAATACATTATCCGAACTCAGGGTAAGAAGAATAGTAAGCGAAGGCAAAGAAGCCGGAGCAGAAGTCGCAGCCCGAAGAGAGAGGATAGGAAAGATCAGGAACAAGACTGCCCTTCGAAGAGCAAAAAGGTCGAAGATAAAGACGAGGAATTCCAAGAAGCTGAATTTGAGTGCAACGTGATAAGCGGAGCTCTGGGTGGAGGAGGCAACACAGCAAATGAAAGAATAAAGTACCTTAAAGAGGTCATGTCGGTAAGAGATAGGCCGACCTTCAAAGGGAAAGCCAGCAATCCTGCTCCCCCAATATTGTTCTTTACTCAAGAAGACCTAGAAATGGTCGTACCTGGACACACCGATGGTCTGGTGATCACCGGGGTGCTAGTTAACTGCCGGGTTAAGAGAATCTTCATTGATCACGGAAGCTCGGTGGACATACTTTTTTGGAACGCTTTCCAAAGGATGAACTCGGATGAAAAAGACCTGAAACCATGTGCCACCGATCTGATTGGGTTCAACAGAGAGCCATCCCCTCCAAAGGGCTATATAGACTTGAAGCTGACCTTAGGAACGAAGGACACATTTCGAGCTGGAAGGGTTCAGTTTGTCGTAGTAGACGCTTCTTCTTCCTACAACGTGATCATTGGCCGACCTACAATCCACGACTGGGACATGTTAATCTCCACCAAGCATCAAGCACTGAAGATGCCGGGGGCAAAGAATGAGGTCATCACCATAAAAGGAGATCAGAAAGAATCCAGGGAGTGCTACTATGAGACTCTAAGGATCAATCACGGAGGTCCATCATCTCCCCCTCTGCTCAAAAATAGAGGTAAAGCCTCCACCAGAGACCAGTCGGTATACCCATGTGGAAACGAGGTAACCTTGATCGAATTGGACATGAGGGAGGAGCTCCAAGCACCTCGTCCAGAACCCCAAGGAAAGCTGGAAAACGTCAGCATTGCGGAGGACGGTAAAGGACACACCAAGGTGGGAAAGGCCCTTGAAGCCGAGACCAAAAAGGAGCTGGTCTCCTTTCTGAACGAAAACCCTGATGTGTTCGCATGGAAGGCTTTCGAGATCCCGGGAATAGATCCGACTTTTTGCTGTCGCAAGCTTTCTATGTACCCCGGGTCGAAACCAGTGTGCCAAAAGAAGAGGAAAATAGGTCCTGACCGACGTCAGCCTTTGAACGAACACGTGGACGAGATGCTAGAAGCCGACTTCATTAGAGAAATACAATACACCACTTGGTTGTCCAACGTCGTAATGGTGAAGAAACCGAGCGGGAAGTGGAGATTTTGCGTGAACTACATTGACCTCAATAAGGTCTTCCTAAAGGACTCGTACCCGATGCCGAACATTGACCAGCTAGTTGATAATTCATCAGGATTTCAGCCACTATCATTCATGCTCCGATACCATTTTTTGTGACACCCTCCCCTGTATGCATCCAAAGGGGATGCCTGCTAAACTGATTAGAGTTGCAACGTCACATATTCCATAAGAATATGCATTTCAAAGCCACAACTAAAAATCTTGTATTGAAATCGAGTTCCACAAAAGGACAGCAGAAAATTTTATAAAACACATTGCTGGCTGAAATTATAATTTTTCCAGAAAACCTGTCTGTATTGCAAAAATCATATAAAATCAAGCTCAACAGTTTTTAAAGATTTTCTTTGACACCGGGAAAAATAGACATCTGGGACTTTACGTACATATAAATTATATGTCATTCGGAGGTCTGTAGCCCCAGAAACAGAACTCGCAAAGTGCTCGAAAAATCTGAGTGAAAATCCGAATTTTAATACAGCAGAAATGGTTCTTGCAAATCAACTACCAAAATTACATAAGTTTCAGGCAACATAAAGAAAATCCAAAATAGAGCAACATAAGACCCATTTCCAACATTTGACCGTCTTCCAAAATAGTACATTACCTACAAATACTCAACATCCAATCCCATCAAGAACAGCGTACAAACAGCAAAACTTCCAAACAGCAGCATGCAAACAGATTATACCAAATCAAATACTTCATCAAATGCTTCTACGTCTTCCTGCAATTTATAAAAATTGAGCCCCAAAAGGGGTGAGAAAAATCTCAGTAGTGTGGCAGAAAAACCAATAGTGCAACAATATTAGTCTAGATA